ACTCATGTACTTTTTTTCTTTTAAATTAAATTCTTAATAACACCATGAACCCTAAAAGGATAAGTGAGAGAATACAAAATGACAAATTCTGAAAATAAAAAAAGTAAGGAGACACTTTCGTCCCATCCAATTATCGCTCAGTAAAAACCCAGTGAAAGCTCGGAAAAGCAAAGTCTGAAATCAGGTGCCACTTATTATTTTTACTGGGCCTTCCAAAGTAAATAAGGAGCTCTAGGGAACCAGGGTGTGAGGCGAGAAAAAAACAAGCACCCTCGCGAAACGACTGCAAAGGACAACGACTTTGGAAAAAGTTTAGCCCTTAGCGTCGTCACGGTCCTTGAATGTTAATAAAACGCCTCCTGGCGCGCCAAAGTTCGCTGGAACAGGCGAGGCGACGTCAACGACGTTATTATCACCATTATGAGCAAAGTCCACTGGGTGGTACAGGCGCCATCATCGCGAGCGTGCCGTGTATACCTTTTTGTTCATGGAAGAGAATAAATAGCGGACGCGAGAAGGACCATTTAACGCGTGCGACCAAAACTCGAGACGGCTTTGTTTGCGAGGTTTGGGAGAACAGGAAAGAGGAATAAAATTTTACTGATGGTTGTATACTAGAGAAAGGATGGTTGTGGGTGAACTCATATAAATGCCTTAATATTTCATTAAAGCTCCGTGCGGTTCAATAAAATGATGGTAAAAATTTTTACCGAGCGAAATCGGAGAATAGCGGCCCGAGTCCTTTGAAAACACGATCCTAATTCAACAGTCGTAAAATGATTGTGACAGAAAAATTGTAAGTAATGTGCTCTTCTGCGAGCCCTAAAAAAATTCACAAGAAAAATGACAGTCATATACATCCAACTAAAGTCATAATCGTGGAAGTCCGATAAAAAGATGGAGCGCGTAAACCAGTGCAGGGTGTAAAAAGTGCGAGTACCAGCGAATGAGCTGAGGAAAGATAAATTGCAATAATAATAATAATGAAAATTTCCAGGAACCGAAAACAGAAAACAGAGGAGAATAGAAAAAAAAATTACCAGACCCAACTGAAAGAGAAGAGAGAGAGAGAGGTAGGTCGCGGGATAATCGAGCGAGCAGAGTGACACCGTAAACTTTCCCGGCGAATAAAATTTGGCCTAGTAAGTGAATCGGGAGGTGAATAGGAAGCGAAGGGGAAAAAACAGTTTGGAGAACGGAATCAGATATAGATGAGGGACGAAAAACGGAAAAGTCGAAAGAAGCCCACGGGGAGAGAGAGAGAGAGAGTTCTGATGAATGCTGCACCGGAAACTTTTCCCACTTGCACTCGCTCTCCAAATTATCCACACCACGAGGGAAGGATTCGAGTCCTTGGTCCTATTGACAGCGATGAAAATTACGCAGATAGAGCTTACGAGTGAACGTTGCGGCTTCTGTCGGTGAATTGGTTAAGTCTCGTGAGGGCTTTTCCAAGGAAGTGGAAACATTTCATTATTAAAGAGGCTGAAGATTAACATAGTCCAGCTTTTGTAATTCAAGTTAAGAGTCTCGTTTCAGCGTTGGTTAGCACTTTTCAAAATTTATACTACACATCTGAACTGCTGTGTAAGCAGAGATGGTCAGTATTTGACAGAGTAGAAATACTCTGAAATACTTTATTTCAGCTTTAATTTAAGTTATTCAAACATTCAACTAATTAATTTAAATTAAATATCTGAACTAAATACTGTATTTATCATTATATTTAAAATAGTAGTTCAAATAAAATACTTGAAGAAAAATTTTATTTCAAATAAAATATTTTAATCATCAAATACTTTTATTTCAAATATGGTATCCAACTATTTTATATCAAATAAAAACATCAAACACGTTTGTATTTTAAATGCATTTGTATTTAAATATGATGAGTATTAAATATAATATTTGAATACAAAGTATTTCAAGTACTTTATTTCAAATAAATGGTACGAAATGCAGTTTTATTTGAAATAAATTATTTCAGATACAATTATATTTGATGAAGTATTTGAAATAATTTGTTAAAAATACATTTGTATTTTACTTGATTATTTCAAATATAATATATACTTGATAGAATACAATTGTATTTTCAAAAGTATTTAAATATTATATTTCAAATGCGAATGTACGGCATCAAAGCATTTTGGGACCTCACCAGTATTGGTTTTTCCTGAATGATTTTCCTACACACAATATATTCTCCTGGCAAATGCGTAGCAGCTTCCTGTGTAATTTTAATAATGTATGTATATATACCAGCGCTGAGGTTGATAAATGTTTTTTAGTTGGCTCACTAGCTACGATTTTATTTACAGAGCATAAAGGCTCCAGGACTAGAAGTAGCTCTATCCAATTTTTCGGCTTAAAAATGGCCTGTAATGATTTCAAGACAAAAATTAAAAATAAAAATTAAAAAGTATAAATATTTATCCTCACGACTTCAAACTAAAATAAATGTGTAGACATACATGAATGTGTTTTATTATTATGTAAGAGCTAATATTAGTTTTTTTTTCCAATAACATAGTTTCTTTTTTTTCAAATAACAAATACGACTTTGCCCAGGTCTATGTGTAAGTAAATACTGATAAATAAACATAGTCTATTTCTCTACAAGAGTTCTGTCAACTAATTCAAAACTTTTTGTACCGTATTATTTAATTACCTCCTAAAGATGTACGTGCAAAATATTAGATTATAAGATTCGATGGAAGAGATTTGAAAGACGATTAGATAGTAAAATTCCGTCAAACCACCACGTAGTTTTAATCTGTTGTGTGTTCAGGTTTCTACTGATAGTTATGAAAATACGATTAATATTTTTTTTTAAATATTTTACAACAGTATAAAATTAAATTTCTAACTTACCATTGTACAGACAGTGTATTGAGCAAATAAATAAACTTACCTGTAAGAGAAAGAGTTTTGGTTAATTATATTAAAATTGCATGAATAAATAAATTGAGTCAAAAAACTTAATTTTTTACATGAAACGCAACTAGCGAAAAATGTATTAATAGATTATTAAATAAAATTATAGTACACATTAAGCTGCAGATTAATCATAAACTCATCTTGATTTTTTTTTAAATACCTGTGTTAAAAACAACATTTATACGTGTATGTATCTAAAAGATTGACTGTTCCTTATCACGTTACTGAGGAATAATTATTCACTATGTAAAATATTTTCTAAAATAGGGAAATTTTATGTGCCAAGATAATATTAAATTGTACTTTAAATCAAGAAAGTATCTTAAGTAAATATTTATAAATAAAAACATCATTAATTAACTAAGTGCGAATTGAGTCAAAAATTACTATTAAAGCATACTAATTAAGCATTGACTCATACTGGTTTCACGTGGTTCTGATGTAAAACTCCAAGTCTTAGAAAGATCTTACACATCTGGGTTTTGTGACAATATATGTGAAGTGAGTCACATTTTTTCACTATCTATCGTGCTTTAGGTAGTAAACTAAAAACAAGTGATTTGTAGACTTTTTTTTTTTTAAATAACTATAAATCTAATATTTATTGTAGCAAAATTAAAAGTCCACCACTGATAAATTTAAACATTTCGTTGAGTTGTATTCTTTGCATTAAAAGCTACAAGAATATACAAATTCATGAGGTAAATAAAAATAGAACAAAACATAATTCCTACATGTTAAGAGTGTAAACAAACTGATGAGAAAAGGATTTATTCAAGTAAACATTACAGTGACAACTCACAAAAAAATCGAAGATATCTCACAATCTCTGAAGGATAGCAATTCGCTTCCTAATTTTGATACTTAATTTTTTTTTTCATATAATGTGCATGTCACACAATTAATGTAGCAGACAATGCATGGCCCCACGCTTTTCTATACGTCAAATTTTTATTTTCGTATTATTGTACTTCCTTATAAAATATTATGCATTACTGAAATCTTTATGTTTTGACATCATTGGGTATAACTTTTTAAATAATTTTTTAAACACATACAACCTTGAATTTTTTACACCTATGAGTTAAGTGCAAGTCGATATAGGCAAACTATGCATCTTAAATTTATTGATAGAAAAGCCAAAACGCTCACAAATATATTTAAAAATTCTGGAATAATCATTATGTGATACTATTTTAAATGTACTTGTACATAGGTTTTAAGTTGATTATTACAAATTACTTATTCAAAAATATATCTGACACGTCTACTTAGGACTGCAAAATGAAATAATTCAGAAAATGTATGAGTTCTCTGTTGCGATATAATGTTCGTCCTCAACATTTGGGTGTGATACACAACACACTTAAAACCCAATGCAAGTTATTTTTTAGAGTCATGGAGAAAGGTGACTTTATCCAAAATTCTCTGATTATATGCCAACGAGGTTGTCAAAGTAATGTGAATGTGTCAAAGTTCTGGTGATTGACACCACAGAGTAATAGAGCTTCTAAAATATTATCACTTCGAATATGGTGCTTCAATAACAATTAATATCATATGACAGTGCGTTAACAAGTGCCTGAAATGATAAGCACTTTTGTTAAATAAACATTGCCAACATCAATCGGAAAAAAACCTAGTACAGCCTTAGTGTGAAAAGGTTCTAAGGCACAGTTGTTTTTTTATTTTTTAATATTCAACTGAAATTATTTATGAGATTATATTTTTTTCCATTTTTTTTATAACATTAAGCATCAAACAGTTTGGTAAAAGCTATAATTGTTCTCAAGTAGGAAAAAAATTTTACGGTTATTTAAAAAATGTTTTTGCCATTTGAAGCATCAGCATGGCTGAATCTAGCAAATTGAATTTTACAAAAACTACAACACGCATATGCTTGTGTCATATACCCTTAGATCGAAATTTATTACCGTTTCAACGTACAATTGTAATTCCAAAAATTAGTTTTTTTATTTTTGTAGGCTATTATTACATCAATTAAACAAATCTATTACAGGAGTTATCAACAAAAATTTTATTACAGTATACAAATATAATTATGAAAGCTTCTCCGATGCAATCTTAACAAGGAGATCAATTATTAAAGCAGGCTGCACTTCTGACAGCTCTTTGAATTTTGGTTGCTCAATAATATCTTTCTTATGAATTGCAAAAAAATTATATACTTGGTTTTTCAAATCATTACAATTATAGAAATTTGCAAAGCAGAGTGTTTGCAATACGTTATCGAGAGTCAGTGTATTAGCAAGGTATCTTCCACATGATTCTTTTAACTCGGATATTGAATATTTATCGGCACATCGGACTAAATCGTCTGCTATGTCGATTATATTTTCCACTTCTCCAGTATACATATAACGCAACATTTCTATAATAATACGAGAGTCAAAATCTTCAATTTTAACGACACTGAGTTTACTTTCTTGCATATCTTTTTCAAACATAGTTAAAAATACTGGACTTTTGCATGCTAATACAATCCTGTGGGCATAAAGTTTGTTTTTGTTTGTAATTAAGGTAACATCAGTTAATGTTTGGTTTTCGAGAAACGATTTAAGATTCCAACATAATTCTGATTGAAATCTACGGTCACTTGATACAAATATATTTTCTGTAGATATATTGCACTGAATCAATAAAATTCCATCACTTTGAAGACTATCAAGTATGAGCTGAGACTCATTTATGTGCCAAACTTTTGATGTGCCACTACCAAAATTCCAGGAATTCTCTTTTTTGCACAACTCGTTCATCTTTCCATTAAAAATAATTAACTCATAAAAGTACCTAGTTCCACTAGCATCAGGTTTAGATGTCATACTTGTCGACAAAGTGAGAGATACTGTGAGAATATTTCCGAGATCATTAGAAAATTCTAATGACCAGATATTCTCATTATTTGGATCCCGAAAGCTATGCAACTGTTTCTTCGGTATATATTGACCAAAAACCCATACTTTCCACCATTGGCTAAGGTAGTCCTTGGAGCTGATCTTACTACGTTTTATTTCTGCTTTAGGAAAATCTTTCGTAAAAGGATTTTCTTTGACTTTCATCGTTATAAAATATACACGTCCAAGGGTTCAGCCACTGAGTGCTTTAAACAGCGTTGAGGTGTATCTAAAATAAAAAACTTTTTTTTTAACAAATGTATCAAAAATCAAAAATCTATTATAATATTGATTAACTATATGACTTAGAATAATATTAAATAGGCCTATTTACTTTGAATTTATTTTAACGCTTGAAGGTTTTACAAAATGAAGTGCACTATGGCTGCAAAAATGTTAACAACAAATATAAATGGCTTACAACCAGATTATTAAATTAAACATACAAGTTGGAAAAATTAATTGTTTGGTAATTACACTATTATGTATGAATCCCACCTTTTTTAATGCATACCTTAATCAAAAACAATATTTGTTCTTAAGTAACGTAGAATCAACAGTGCAATTTTATTTCAGATATTCACTATTTTATGCAGCACATGCTAGATCAAACCGGTAGTACGCAAATAAAAAGTAGTAATATTTAATAAATAATAGCAGCAGCAAAGTGTTCTCGAATCATTTTCAACTGCACGATAGATTTTTTGATATGATGCCACTTGATTAGAATAATTTTTCTTCAACTACTTACAGTTCCAGTTATTTTACATTTAGCACTAGTTGACTCCAAAGCTAAAAAGCCCTTAACAGACGTTTCATTATCAGACAGTTTATTTTTATAACAAAATCCTATCTATATAAGTTACAACTTATTCTGGACGTAAATTAATCACTGTATTTTATAACCATATAAGAGAGTAAAGATGTATAATTAAGTCTATCCCCGTTTCTTTTTTTAACCTTACAACCACAAGATGATTTAGTATCATGACGCACCACGTCAGCGTATTTATAATAATTATACATTATTGCTGCTAATTACTTTGCGATACCTTACTCTGAAGTCTTGACACTGTTTTTATTGTGGGACATCATACATTCCATCTACTTCAAATATGTCTGAGTTAAATAGGGAGTTAAAGGAGTGTACCTTACAATTGAATAGAAGAAAGTATAAATACGCACCATACAATTAAGTAATGAATCCTTGAACCACCTATATGTCACCTTCGCTTACGACTAGGGTGACAGTGCAAGAAAAGACCTTTGGTTTGGTATGGACAGACCACGGAGACTGATGCTACAACGTGGTTAGCCACTGTCGATGCCGTCAACTCCGTATATTGTTTAACCGCAACAATTGAGAGCTCGTACTTTTACACGATGTGGTTTGGAAGTGGGAGGCTTCCGAAAATATTTTTAATATGGCCGCAAAGCTTGTCGCAAAACTTAATGCAAGGCAACTTAAGCTGTAGAGTTGTAGGCAAGTCACACGGTGATTATCAAAGTACGAAGAGCTTTGTGCTTATTAATTTTTCTTGGTAACTGTTACCCATACAGAAATGCAGTGTAGCGTTATCAGTTGGAATTTTCTAGAACATAAACGTTTCTCTTACTCACTTTTTTCAACTGCTTAAAGTTTTACTTCCATTTATATAAAAACAAGAGCATTAATATTGATACTAGTGTGTGTATCTTTATCTGATAAAATGGACGCTCTGACTTTGTCAAAAATGTCTTTCAATATGTGCACACATTCAATGTGTCACTTTCTCTATTTTTGTGCTTTAGAGTATTATGTAGAATTCTTCCATCATTAACAATAGTAACTTTTAAAGTTTACATTACCATTAACATCATTACCATTTCAAAAATTTTTTAAAAAGAGACAGAACCAGTCTTATTACCACGCAGCTTGTACGTACTTTTTTGGGCGATTTTATGAACTTAGTTATTAAGATATTTCAAAATAAAAAAATTACCTTACTAAAAAGACTGTATTGAACCTTATCGACTCAAAAGTTTGTGATTTACTAGAAAAATTAAGCTTGAAAAATATTTAGAAATTACCAACACCATCTGTTTTTATCCTGGGTTATTCCAATAAACCAACAAAAATCTAATAGAATGATTTGTGAGGACAGCCTATCTTTGATTTGCCAAGATAGCTCGTGATTTGTTTGTATTATCTAAGATTCTCACTCAGATATATTTTATAGTTAGCACCGATTTTTGTGCTAGAGATAGATCCACACATGCCTGCTCACGTAGTGCAGTATAATACCCACTGCTATAATTGTACAATACGCAAATGTTTCATATCATTTTATGGCTCTTATCAAAGAAGTATCCTAAATCATTGCTGGTTGAGTTAAATGATTAACTCTTATACTTTCTTGCCTATATGATAGTTAAAAATAATAGTATTTTTCTGACAAACTTAAATTTATGTTTGTGATTTTATAACTATCGAAATTTTTTTAAACTATTAAGCCGATTTAATTTAATGGTAACTATTTAACCAATTCACTCATTTTTTACTTTTCGAAGTATTTACATACTATGTTAATAATTTAAGCTCATAACATTCCTAAACACCACTAAACTGGTTAATGAAAAACATAAGAAAATGCTGGAAAGGAGAAATGAAAAACAAAATTCAAGCGTAAAATCACAATGTTGTTTATACCATAATGAAAATTTAGCTAAAAACATTAGTTTGATTCAAAATAGTGTCGTTTGTCATTGAAATGTGAGCGTAGCTCAAGTAATATGTATGAATGTCAAATTAATCAGGCAAAAGCGGGTCTTCTCAAAGTTTTTGTGAACATTTAAAATAAAAATTAACTTACTCATCATGTGCGGTTTTGTAGGTGATGTAACGCTGGTGAAGATGAAACTTTATGTTTAAAACCATATGTTTACAAAAACCGTATGAAGACCAACAGCCGTCCTGTCTTGAGAGGTGCTGTTTAAATTTTAGGTTATTTGTACTAACTACTTTTAGAGAAAAATTACATTTTATATAATATGCATCTTAGTACTATTTTATGATTATGAGATGTAGTTTCTCCATTTTCAATTTGCAATAGATTTGGGCCTGATTTAATCGCCAAAATATCAGCTTCGTAGGTTTTCTCGTTACTTTACGTAAAAAAAACAGCTGTAAAACAATGAATTTATATCAAATAATCAAAGTGAACTAGTGGATAAAACAGAAATTCTCAGGTACATATCAGATCTTAAAAATACGTATGTCAATATTAAAACCATATGAGACCCCTTAAATACAAAACTGACTGCGACAATTAAGATATCAAAAAAGTATGCTACTTTAATTCTTAACTGGCAAAGTTTGAATTTTTTACAGTTTTTTCTTGTATTCTATAGCTGATTTTATCAGAAGTACGTGACATTTACAAATAATAGAAATTTAAGTGAGAACGAGCAAAAAAAGAGACACATATAATTAAAAATAATTAAATTTACTATATTTTAATATGAAACATGTCAGCTTTTGAAACAACTGCTTAGCTTTTGCAATCGTGATCAAAGATTATTGTGGATCTCCATACTTTATTAAAAGTAAACCAGAAAAAAAAATTCACAACACTTATTGATCTAAAATATGTTTGACAGGTCTACTTACGGCTACAGAAAAAAAAAAATATGTTGTCTACTACGTTATAATGTTCTTCAACTTATTCTCATTATTATTACTTCAGTCTAATAAAAGACTCAATCAAAACCAAGTAGAAGGTATTTTTTTGTACAAAAAATCAGTGACGTTATCTAAGATTCTCCAATAAAAATAGGCTGACAAGGTTCTCAATGTTATAAATAATGCATCTCTATCGGTTGTTACTTTACTTTTGACACATACAAGCTCAGGGAGGATAACGTAACATACAAAATAATTATCTTAGACCCCGCAATTCTAAAATGACAAAGCATAAACTTACTACTGGAAACTATTTTTAATCAAAGCCAAAATAACATAAAAACAATCGAAACATTACTTATTCGATGTATGAAATGATTGCAGATAAAATTATTTTAAACGGGATTAAAGTAATTATTTAATTTTTTTTAATATTTCATGTTTTTTTAACAATGTTCGTAGATCCTAGGCAGCAAACCAACATAATTCGAGTAGTTCTTGTTTTCGCCATGAAATAGAGAGTTTCGAGAATATTGTAATTTCTAATATCTAATTCATTAAAAATCAAAAAAAATGACTGCGTAAACGACTACGATAATAAAAAAATAGCACTTTTGTATATTAACCATTCACAATATTTGAAGTTTTATTTCCAAAAACTCCAGTTCTTATTTTTTTCAAAAGGATACCTAGTTAAGCCTTTGTGTACAAAGATTCTAAGGCTCAGTTTTTTTTTAATTTTCTAGTATTTGATTAAAACAATCTGATCAACTATCATTTTCCTTATAAACAAATTTAACTACTTCTCACTTTAATGACATGCATTAATAATTATTTTGTAAAAGATTCAATTATTCTTAAGTAGAAAAAAGGAATTTTATGGTTATTGAAAAAACGTATATGCTACGTAAAGCATTAGCATCACTTAATCTGGAAAATTGTACTGTACAAAAGCTACAATATGAAAATTTGAGCAACGCTTCCTGAAGTCATTAACTCCTTATTTTATATAATACAAATAAAAACGTTTAAGTGTTAGTGTACGCCAGTATTACATAGATTCAATACAATATAATTTCAAGGCTACCAACAAAAAATAACTTGAAGTATAACAATATAATTATGAAAGCTTCTCCGGTACCATGTTACAAAAAAGATCAATTATTAAAGATGGTTGCTCTTCTGACAGCTCTTTGAAATTTGGATGGTCAATAATTTCTTGCTTATGAGTCGCAAAAAAACGGCATACTTTATTTTTCAAATCATTGCAGTTATGAAAATTTGCAAAGCAGAGTCTACTCAATACGTTATCAAGAGTCAGCGAGTTAGCAAGGTATGTTTCACATGATTCTTTTAACTCAGATATTAAATATTTATCGGCACAACGGACTAAATCGTCTGCTATGTCATTTATGTTTTCCACTTCTCCAGTATACATATAACGCAACATTTCTATAATAACACTAGAGTCAAAATCTTTAATTTCAACAACATTATTTCTACTTTCTAACATATCGTTATCAAACATGGCTAAAAATACTGGACTTCTGCATGCTAATACAATTTTGTGAGCCCTAAGTTTTTCATTGTTTGTAATAATGGTAACGTCAGTTAATGTTTGGTTTTTAAGAAACAATGTAAAATTCCAACACAATTCTGATTGAAAACTATGGTCCCTTGATACAAATATATTATCTGTAGATATATTACATTGAACAAACAAACTTCCATCACTTTGAAGACTATTAAGTATAAGCTGAGTCTCATTTATGTGCCAATCTTTTGATGTACCCATACTGAAATTCCAGGAACTCTCTTTTTTGCACAACTCCTTCATCTTTGTATCAAAAATAGTTAACTCATAAAAGTACCTAGTTCCACTAGCTTCAGATTTAGATACCATACTTGTCGACAAAGTAAGAGATATCGTAAGAGTATTGTCAGTATCATTAGAAAATTCTAATGACCAGATGTTATCATTATTTGGATCCTGAAAGTGATGAACCTGGTTTTTTGGTATAAACTTACCAAAACTCCAAACTTTCCACAATTGGCTCAGGTATTCTATACAGCCAATCTTACTACGCTTTATTTTTCCTTGAGGATACATTCTCATAACCGGATTTCCTTCGACTACGCTCATTATAAAATATACACGTCCAAGGGTTCAGCCACTGAGTGCTTTAAACAGCGTTGAAGTGTATCTTAAAAAAAAACGTTTTTTTATCAAACATATTGAAAATCAAAAATTCATTATAATATTGATAAACTGTATGACTTAAAACAATATTGAATAAGCCTTCGTCCTCTAAATTTATTTTATTACTTTAATAAAGGTAAACAAAAGTTAGTGCATTATGACTACGAGAATGGTAACAACAAATATAAATGGCTTATAACCAGACCGTTAAGTTAAAAATATTAGTTAATATAATTAATTGTTTGGTAATTACACTAATAGGTTTAAATCTCTTTTTTTTAATGCATACCTTAATCAATAAATAATTTGCTCTCGGGCAATGTAGAAGTAATAGAACAATTTTATTTCAGCTGTTCACTATTTCATGCAGCACCTGTAACATCAAACCAGTGGTAAGCAACCAAAATGAAGTAATATTAAATAGTAGCAGTAAATAATAAATAGTAGTAGCAAAAAAATGTTCTCAAATCATTTCAACTGCTCGTTAGTTTTCTTGACATGATACCACGTGATAAGAACGTTTTTTCTACGACTTTTTCCAGTTCTGGTTCACTTACGTATAGCACTAGTTATTTTCGAACAAAAAACAAAATCAAATCCTGACGCGTCAGAACTCATTGTAGACGTAAACTAATTACTGTATTTTATAACCATATGAGAAGGAAAATATGTAAGACCAAATTTATCCATGTTTTTCTTATTCAATCTTACAATCACAAACTTATTTCGTGTCATGATGAACCACGTCAGCATATTTGAAATATGCCTGAGTTTAAGGAGTATACCTTACAATTAAATAGAAGAAAATATAAATACGCACCATACAATTAAGTAATGAATTCTTGAACTACCTATATGTCACTCACGCTTACGACTAGGGTGACAGTGCAAGAAAAGACCTTTGGTTTGGTATGGACAGACCACGGAGACTGATGCTACAACGTTTCCAACTTTGAGTACTATGAGGTTAGCCACTGTCGATGCCGTCAACTCCGTATATTGTTTAACCGCCACAATTAGGAGCTCGTACTTTTACACGATGTGGTTTGGAAGTGGGAGGCTTCCAAAAATATTTTCAATATGGCCGCAAAGCTTGTCGCAAAACTTAATGCAAGGCAACTTAAGCTGTAAAATGGAGGCAAGTCACACGTTGATTATCAAAGTACGTAAAGCTTTGTGCTTATTAATTTTTCTTGGTGACTGTTACTCATACAGAAACGCAGTGTAGCGTTATCAGTTGGAATTTTTAGAAATTAAAAGTTTCTTTCACTTATCGTGACTTATAGTTTTACTTATATTAGTACAAAACAAAAGTATCATTATCGATACAAGTATGTGTATCGATATATAATGAAATGGAGGCTCTGACGTCATCAAAAATGTCTTTTAATATGTGCACGCGTACAATCTGCGACTCTTTAATTTGCTCTCTCGAAATATAATGTACCATTTTTCAATTTTTCAATTTGTTTATTAGTACAAGTCTGTCAATGTTTTTAAAATAAGACACAAATAATTAGTTAGAAAAAAGTCTTATTATCGCGCAATTTGTACTTACATATTTTGAAGAGATCTTATGAACTTAGGTATCAAGATATCATAAAAAAAATATCACCTCACTAAAAAGACTGTATTAAACATCCTCAAAGCGGAAGTTTAAGATTTACCAGAATAGTTATGCTAAAACAAATTTAGAAATTATTAACACCATCTTTACTTGTCCTGGGTCATCCCAATTAAGCAACAAGAATTCAAAAGATTGATTTGTCGGGATAGCCAACCATTGATTTGCTGGTATTATCTAGAATTTTGACTCAGATCTTATTCACAGTTGGTACTGATTTTTGTCTGAGTGATAGATCCACACATGCCTGCTCAGGTTGTCTCGTGTAAAAAACATTTTTCTCATGACATAATATATTAATATTTTATACCGTACGTGTCACCTATTACAAAAGTGGCCTAAATGATCGGTGGTTGATTTCATACCAATTTCGTAACTTGGATATTATTAACAAGTTATAACTGTAAGTAAGCAAGTAACTAAAATAATGATAAAAGTGTAAGCTTTTTTACATCAAGTGTTGCCGAAATGTCTAGGTTTCTCTACAAAAATTCTAATATATGTTTTCGTCAGATAGAACCTAGTTTAGTCTCCATGTAAAAGGGTTCAGTAGTAAAATTTTTTTCTGTAATCTTTTAGTTAGACCAAAATAACTGGTAAAACAATAATCTCTTTTATTTTGCTTGATAACTGATAAAGCTTTCCTTAACATCCACACCCTTTTAAGTTATACTTCTGAGCAGAAGATTTGAATATTCTCTAGATAAAAAAAACTGTTTTGTTGTTTAGAAACTATTTTTGCTATTCAGAGCGTCAGTATGACACTATCTAGCCAACTGTAGTACACAAAACTACGGGATGTGGACTTGTGTAAGAAATCCATAGTTATCATTTCTTAATGAATCAATGTATTACAAACAGAAACTAAGGTTCTCCGTTTTAGTGTAGTAAAGGATTTACATGAAATGTTACAAATAATTACAACGTTCAGTCTAAAAATTTATTTGCCTAAAAATAGTCAATGATTGTTTCAAATATTGGTATTTTTATTCGTGCATATCAGTATTACATTAATAAAAAAGAATACATTTTTAACTTCATGAACATAAATTAACCTGGAGTAAACAAAAATTATATTAAAAGTTTATTTCAGCGACTTACAAAGGAGATCAATTGTCAAAGCAGGTTCCATCTGTGACAAATCTTTAAATTCTGATTGAACAACAATATCTCGTTTATGAATTGCAAATAAATAATATATTCTATTTTTTAAGTCATTGCAGTTATATAAATTTGCAAATTGGAGTCTGTATAATATATTATCAAGAGTCAATGAGTTAGCGAGGTATACTTCACATATTTTTTTTAATTCAGATACTGAATACTTGTCAGCGCAATGAAATAAATCATCTGCTACGTCGTTCATGTTTTCTACTTCTCCAGTGTACATAAAACGCAACATTACTTTGATAACACTAGAGTCGAAATCATTGATTTCAACAACATTAGGTCTTTTCTCTGGCATATCGTTATCAAACATATCTAAAAATACTGGACTTTTGCGTGCTAATACAATTTGGTGAGCCCTAAGTTTTTCATCGTTTGTGATTATGGTAACATCTGTTAATTGTTTGGTTTCGAGGAACGATGTGAAATCCAAACACAATTCTGATTGAAAACTATGGTCACTAGATACAAATATATTTTCTCTAGATATATCGCACTGAATCAATAATACTCCATGACTTTGAAGACTCTTAAGTATAAGGTGACTGTCATGAAATAACCATGCTTTTGATGTTCCAACTGCAAAACTCCAGTTATGCTCTGTTTTACACAATTCATTCATTTTACAATCAAAAATGGTTATCTTATAAAAATACTTAGTTCGACCAACAGTTGATTCAGATTTTACTTTTCCCCACAAAGCAAGGGATATCATGAGCATATTTCCAAGATAATTGGAAAATTCTAATGACCAGATATTCTCATTTTCCGGATCCAGAAAAGAATGCACTTGCTTTCTTGGTATGCATTTACCAAAAATCCGTACCTTCCACAAATAACTAAGATATTCTATAGAGCCAACATTACTAAGCTTTGTTTCTGCTTGAGGATATTCTCTCATATAAAGATTTTTTTCTACTTTTATCATTATAAAATCTGTACGTCCAAGGGTTCAGCCACTGAGTGCTTTATGCAGCGTTAATGCGTATCTATAATATAAAAACATTTTTAGTTAAATATATTGCTACTTTCAAATCGATAATAATTTTAAGCAATCTTATGGCTTACAATAATATTAAACAAGTTTATGCATATATGAGTTCATTCAAACTCTTAAACAAATTTAAAGAAAGTAAAGTATTCTATGTCTACAATAAAGGTAGGTGCAACGATAAAAGGTTTAAAAACAGGTTGTTAAATTGAATATTTCTATTTTTTAAAATTTGTCAATGATATACCATAAAGCATGGAATGCATTGTTTGAAGTGCCTACATAAATAAAAAATAGAATTTTTTTTTCCTTTGGCTTTTTAAGGACTGATGTGCCCTCGGCAAAAAAAAATGTTTAGCATTAAAGTGTCATGAATCCAGGGCTACCTTACGGTCCCTAAAACCTGCTTTACAGGACCTTTGGGTTGCAAAGTAGCCCTGGAAACGATGGTACTTCTCCAATCAAACCTACAATTTTTTTACGTTATGTAGAACCAACGGTACAATTTCTCTTCACATAAGATTAGTGTCATGTAGCACGTGTTATAACAAACCAGTAGTAAGAAAACAAAAAGAAACAACATTTACTAAATAACAGCAGCAGAAAAGTATTTTCTCTTCATATTATTTCTATGATGGATATCTGGACATGATGATACGAAATCAGAAAGATTATTTTTTACAAATACTTACAGTTCTAGTTTAGTTGTGTATAGTTCTATTTGTTTTCAAAGCTTAAACGCCCTCATCGGACACATTTGATTTAAATTTATTGATACATAGTTTAGTTTTAGAACACAATCCAACCTATATTAGTACAAACATTGATTTTATTTCATCTTTATATTTATATATGTTTGAGTTAAGATTAACGAGCAAGGCTGTCTCGTGGCTTAAAATCACTAGCTGATTTTACGTGACGATGCACCCCGTTGGCAAATATGGATCATGAGGATACATGGCATGAAATTCGTGAGTCATATGACTCAACTATGCCTCAAAATGGCGTCGTACACGTATCACATATTCTTTTAGATACGAATCACCTTTATGTGAAAGTATACAAAGATACACAAATTGGGATTGTACAGGGGTAAACGGTACAAGTATTGATACGTTTAGAGTTATTTACCCCCCGAGTAATTTTTATATCTATGTCTATAGGGTCCATTCGAAAATAACGGTCAATTAATATCCAGGGGTAAACAACTGTACAATTTATCCCTATAAGTATATTGTTACACGTGCATGACGCCATTTTTGCTTAGGTACTCTCACACTATTTGCGGTGTATCCTCATACATTCTTGCTGCTTGTTGCTTTATGATACCTTTCTCTGGAGTCTACATACTATCCTAATCGTGGCACACTATAAACTTATTTGAAATATGCCTGAGTTTAAGGAGTATACCTTACAATTAAATAGAAGAAAATATAAATACACACCATACAATTAAGTAATGAATTCTTGAACTACCTATATGTCACTCACGCCTACGACTAGGGTGACAGTGCAAGAAAAGACCTTTGGTTTAGTATGGACAGACCGCGGAGACTGATGCTACAACGTTTCCATTTTTGAGTACTGTGAGGTTAGCCACTGTCGATGCCGTCAACTCCGTATATTGTTTAACCGCAACAATTGAGAGCTCGTACTTTTACACGATGTGGTTTGGAAGTGGGAGGCTTCCGAAAATATTTTTAATATGGCCGCAAAGCTTGTCGCAAAACTTAATGCAAGGCAACTTAAGCTGTAAAATGGAGGCAAGTCACACGTTGATTATCAAAGTACGTAAAGCTTTGTGCTTATTAATTTTTCTTGGTGACTGTTACTCATACAGAAACGCAGTGTAGCGTTATCAGTTGGAATTTTTAGAAATTAAAAGTTTCTTTCACTTATCGTGACTTATAGTTTTACTTATATTAGTACAAAACAAAAGTATCATTATCGATACAAGTATGTGTATCGATATATAATGAAATGGAGGCTCTGACGTCATCAAAAATGTCTTTTAATATGTGCACGCATACAATCTGCAACTCTCTAATTTGCTCTCTCGAAATATAATGTACCATTTTTCAATTTTTTAATTTGTTTATTAGTACAAGTCTGTCAATGTTTTTAAAAATAACATAGCTAAAAATACTGGACTCTTGCATGCTAATACAATTTTGTGAGCCTCAAAATTTTCATTGTTCGTGATTATGGTAACATCAGTTAGTTTTCGGTTTTCGTAAAACGATTTGAAATTCAAACACAATTTTGATTCTAACTCATGGCTACTTGAATTAACTGTATCATCTTTTAATATGTTGCATTGAATAAATAATAGTCCATCACTTCGAAGACTATAAAGTATGAAGTCCACATTATCAATTAAGCATACTTTAGATGTTTCGACTGCAAAATTCCAGTTCTGCCCTTTTCTGCACAACTCATTCATTTTTTCATCAAATACCGTTATCTCATAAAAAAACCAAGTTTGGCCATCTGTAAATTTAGATTTTATAGTTTTCCACAAATTAAGGGATATTGTCATAGCAGTTCCTAAATAATTAGAAAATTCTAATGACCAGATATCCTCATTATTTGGATCCCGAAAGTTATGCACCTGCTTCCTCGGTACGTGTTGACAAAAATCCCATACCTTCCATAAATAGCTGAGATATTTCATTGAGCCACTCTCATTCATTTTGTTTTCAGCTTTAGGATAAATTTTCATTACAGAATCTTCTTTGACATCTATCATTATAAAACCTGTTCGTCCAAGGGGTCTGCCACTGAGTGCTTTATGCAGTGATTGTGGTATCTAAAATATAAGATTATTTTTTATTAAATACATTCCTTCTTTCCAATTAATAATGGAAAACAATTGTATGGCTTACGATAATATTAAATAAGCTAAGGCAAAGTACAAAGTTGAGCAGCAATTAAATGTGGAAATATATAATAAGATGGACTTTGAGGAATAACAAAATTCAAGATTAGATTAAACGAAGATAAGTAGTATCAGGTACTGTGATGAATTGCGACTTCTCATTCTCTCTTGGGAGTAATTCCACTCGTAAGTTTCTTATCACGTCAGGGTTAAAATCCACACTCACCCTCGTATTAGGAGGCCATCATCCATACGTGTGTTATATCCATGTGTACAAATAAAATAACCTCTCATGCTGAAAGTATGAGGAATAGGATAGCTTTCACAGAGCTAAGTATAGATAAAGTGCAGAAAGAATCCGTGGACATACAAAAATGGCAAAGAGAAAAGATGGAATCAAAGTAGAAGAAGAAGAAGAAGAAGGAGAAGCTAGCACCTGTAAAAGGGTAGCTCTAGAAGGAGGGAGCAAATAGCGAAGCGGAGGAGCCGTGAAAAGTATCTTAAACTTGACTTCTTCTTCTTCTTTTCCATTCTTCTTCTTCTCTTTCTTCTCCCTCTCGACTATCCATCGACGTTGACGACAAAGAAATCGCTCCAAGAAGCCTGCCGAGCGAATCTCAAAGTGCACGAGAGCGAAGTGGGCAGAAGAAATGCGGGCACACGTGCCTCACACAAGCCCCGCGGAAATTAAGTGAACTGCACCGCGAATTTCCGCGACCATGGCCCTTCTTATTCTTTTTTCTGCCTGCAGTTTTTTCGTTTTCGAGACCGCAGAAATGGTTCCGTCATCGCATGTCCAGCGAATCAAACCCCCAACTCCTTTACTCCAGTTTGCAACAAAAGAGATTTAGTTTTAGTTAGACCAAAATAACTGGTCAAACAATAATCTCTTTTATTTTACCTGATAACTGATAAAGCTTTCCTTAACATCCACACCCTTTTAAGTTGTACTTCTGAGCAGAAGGTTTAAATATTCTCTAGATAAAAAAAACTGTTTTGTCGTTTAGGAACTATTTTTGCTATTCAGAGCGTCAGTATGACACTATCTAGCCAACTGTAGTACACAAAACTACGGGATGTGGACTTGTGTAAGAAATCCATATTTATTGTTTCTTAATTAATCAATGTATTACGAACAAAAAATAAGGTTCTCCGTTTTAGTGTAGTAAAGGATTTACATGGCATGTTACAAATAATTACAACGTTCAGTCTAAAAATTTATTTGCCTTAAAATAGTCAATGACTGTTTCAAATATTGGTATTTTTATTTGTGCATTACAGTATTACATTAATAAAATAGAATACATTATTAACTTTATGAACATAAATTAACCTGGAGTAAACAAAGATTATATTGAAAGTTTATTTCAGCGACATACAAAGGAGATCAATTGTCAAAGCAGGTTCCATCTGTGACAAATCTTTAAATTCTGATTGAACAACAATATCTCGTTTATGAATTGCAAATAAATAATATATTCTACTTTTTAAGTCATTGCAGTTATGTAAATTTGCAAATCGGAGTCTGTATAATATATTGTCAAGAGTCAATGAGTTAGCAAGGTATACTTCACATATTTTTTTTAATTCAGATAATGAATACTTGTCAGCGCAAAGAAATAAATCTTCTGCTACATCGTTCATGTTTTCTACTTCTCCAGTGTACATAAAACGCAACATTACTTTGATAACACTAGAGTCGAAATCATTGATTTCAACAACATTAGGTCTTTTCTCTGGCATATCGTTATCAAACATATCTAAAAATACTGGACTTTTGCGTGCTAATACAATTTGGTGAGCCCTAAGTTTTTCATCGTTTGTGATTATGGTAACATCTGTTAATTGTTTGGTTTCGAGGAACGATGTGAAATCCAAACACAATTCTGATTGAAAACTATGGTTACTAGATACAAATATATTTTCTCTAGATATATCGCACTGAATCAATAATGCTCCATGACTTTGAAGACTCATAAGTATAAGGTGACTGTCATGAAATAACCATGCTTTTGATGTTCCAACTGCAAAACTCCAGTTATGCTCTGTTTTACACAATTCATTCATTTTACGATCAAAAATGGTTATCTTATAAAAATACTTAGTTCGACCAACAGTTGATTCAGATTTTACTTTTCCCCACAAAGCAAGGGATATCATGAGCATATTTCCAAGATAATTGGAAAATTCTAATGACCAGATATTCTCATTTTCCGGATCCAGAAAAGAATGCACTTGCTTTCTTGGTATGTATTTACCTAACAACAAATATAAATGGCTTATAACCAGACCGTTAAGTTAAAAATATTAGTTAATATAATTAATTGTTTGGTAATTACACTAATAGGTTTAAATCTCTTTTTTTTNCAAACTCTTAAACAAAGTTAAAGAAAGTAAAGTATTCTATGTCTGCAATAAAGGTAGGTGCAACGATAAAAGGTTTAAAAACAGGTTGTTAAATTGAATATTTCTATTTTTTAAAATTTGTCAATGATATACCATAAAGCATGAAATACATCGTATAAAGTGCCTACATAAATAAAAAATAGAATTTTTTTTTCCTTTGGCTTATTAAGGACTGATGTGCCCTCGGCAAAAAAAAATGTTTAGCATTAAAGTGTCATGAATCCAGGGCTACTTTACGGTCCCTGAAACCTGCTTTACAGGACCTTTATGTTACAAAGTAGCCCTGGAAAGGATGGTACTTCTCCGATAAAACCTACCATCTTCTTATGTCACGTAGGACCAACGGTACAATTTCTCTTCAGATAAGATTGGTGTCATGTAGCACGTGTTATAACAAACCAGTAGTAAGAAACCAAAAAGAAACAACATTTACTAAATAAGAGCAGCAGAAAAGTATTTTCTCTTCATATTATCTCTATGATGAATATCTGGACTTGATGATACGAAATCAGAAAGATTATTTTTTACAAATACTTACAGTTCCAGTTTAGTTGTCTATAGTTCTATTTGTTTTCAAAGCTAAAACGCCCTCATCAGACACATTTGATTTAAATTAAATGATAGATAGTTTAGTTTTAGAACAAAATCCAACCTATATAAGTACAAACATTGATTTTATTTCATCTTTATATTTATATATATGTGAGTAAAGATTAACGAGCAAGGCTGTCTCGTGGCTTAAAATCAAGAGCTGATTTCACGTGACGATGCACCCCGTTGGCATATATAGAACACAAGGATACATGTCATGAAGTTCGTTAGTCATATGACTTAACCATGCCTCAAAATGGCTTCGTACACGTATCACAGATTCGTTTAGATACGAATCACCTTAATGTGAAAGTATACCAAGATACACAAATTGGGATTGTATAGGGGTAAACGGTACAATTATTAATACGTTTAGAGTTATTTACCCCCCGAGTAATTTTTATATCTATGTCTATAGGGTCCATTCGAAAATAACGGTCAATTAATATCCAGGGGTAAACAACTGTACAATTTATCCCTATAAGTATATTGTTACACGTGCATGACGCCATTTTTGCTTAGGTACTCTCACACTATTTGCGGTGTATCCTCATACATTCTTGCTGCTTGTTGCTTTATGATACCTTTCTCTGGAGTCTACATACTATCCTAATCGTGGCACACTATAAACTTATTTGAAATATGCCTGAGTTTAAGGAGTATACCTTACAATTAAATAGAAAAAAATATAAATACGCACCATACAATTAAGTAATGAATCCTTGAACCACCTATATGTCACCTTCGCTTACGACTAGGGTGACAGTGCAAGAAAAGACCTTTGGTTTGGTATGGACAGACCACGGAGACTGATGCTACAACGTTTCCATTTTTGAGTACTGTGAGGTTAGCCACTGTCGATGCCGTCAACTCCGTATATTGTTTAACCGCAACAATTGAGAGCTCGTACTTTTACACGATGTGGTTTGGAAGTGGGAGGCTTCCAAAAATATTTTTAATATGGCCGCAAAGCTTGTCGCAAAACTTAATGCAAGGCAACTTAAGCTGTAAAATGGAGGCTCTGACTACATTAAAAATAAAATTTTTGCTCTCTATAAACATAATGCACAATTTTTTAATTTTTTTTTTTTTTTTTTTTTATCAGTACGACTCTATACATTTTTTTAAAAAAGACACAAATAATAAATTAGAAAAAAACCGATTATCACAGCCTTTAAGTAACTTTTTTTAATCTGGTTCTATATTTATCGTCAATAAGTATTGAATTTTTTAATTTAGTTTGTAATTCGTTCTATGTTTCATGATGAACAAGCGTACATCTTTTGGTCTATCTCTTAAAATTAGTTACCAAGGCATCTTGAAGTAAAAAAATTACCTTTCTGAAGAGACTGTATCGAACTCTTTCAAGTCGAAAGTTTCAGCTCAACTTGGAAATTAACATAAAAAGATGTTATAACTGCCAACACTATCTTCATTTATGTGGGGATATTTTGATAAACAAAGAAAACTTTAATAAAATGAGTTGTGGGGGCAACCTATCACTGATTGAGCAATATTATCTCGGGTTATATATGACTTGAATCTAATTTACAATCGATACAGATTTTTCTGCAAGAGCTCGACCTCTGGTAGCCTGGTTTCGTTGTCATATGTAACAACCACTTTTGTCATGATATAATTCACTAATATTTTGTACCTTCCATTTCTTCCATCAAAGTAGTAAACTAAATGATCATTGGTTGATTCAGATAAATAGCTTTTCTACTGACTTGCATACAAAATGTCAATAACCTTGACCTATTATCACTCCTGTAACAAATAAAATAATTAAAGAGAGAACTATTTTAAAAAAGGGTAGAAAACATTTATTTTCCTAAAGCACAAAATGCTTTTTAATAATATTTGTACATTCTAAAAAACCAGCCAAAATGAATAAATACTACTTACTATTTATGCTACATAATAGAGCTTTTGTATGATAACCAGTTTTAATTTCGTAACTTGGTAAATATCAACAAAATATCACAGTACGTGAGCAAGTAGCTAGGATAATAATAAAAGTAAAAGCTTTTTTACGTCAAGTGCTGCAGGAATGTCAAGGTTTCTCTACAAGAATTCTAATTTATGTTTTTGTCAGATAGAACCTAGTTTAGACTCCGTGTAAAAATGTTCTGTAGTGAAATATTTTTCTTTTAAGTTAAAATTCTGAGCAAAAGGTTTAAATATTCTCTAGATAAAAAAAATTATTTTTGTTGTTTAGAAACTATTTTCGCTATTCAGAGCGTCAGTATGACACTCTCTAGCTAACTGTAATACAAAAAACTACGGGATGTGGACTTGTGTAAGAAACCCGAAGTCATCAATTAATTACTGTGTTACAAAAAAAAAATTCTTTTTCTAACTTTTTTACCTTTTTAGTGAAGAATTTACATGACATGTTACAAATAATAAGATCATTTTTTAGTATGACAATTTATTTTGCCTCACAATAGTCAATAATTGTATTAAAAATTAGTAATTTTATTTGTACCGTCCAGTACTACATTAATTAAATAAAATACATTTTTAACTTGATAAACACAAATTAACCTAGAGTCAACAAAGATAATTTTAAAAACTAATTTGTGACAATTGTTTTACAAAAAAGATCAATTATCAAAGTAGGTTCCATCTTTGACAGCATTTTAATTTCTGGTTGAACAATAATATCTTTATTATAAATCGCAAATAAATGATATATTCTTTCTTTCAAATTATTGCAATTATATAAATTTGCAAGCCGGAGTCTGTATACTATATTATCAAAAGTTAATGAGTTAGCAAGGTATACTTCACAAATTTTTTTTTAATCAGATAATGAATACTTGTCAGCGCAAAGGAATAAATCATCTGCTACGTCGTTCATGTTTTCTACTTCTACAGTATACATAAAACTCAACATTTCTAGAATAACACTAGAGTCAAAATCTTTAATTTCAATCACGTTAAATCTACTTTCTAACACATCATTTTCAAACATAGCTAAAAATACTGGACTCTTGCATGCTAATACAATTTTGTGAGCCTTAAAATTTTCATTGTTCGTAATTATGGTAACATCAGTTAATTTTCAGTTTTCGTGAAACAATTTAAAATTCAAACACAATTTTGATTTTAACTCATGGCTACTTGATATAACTGTATCATCTTTTAATATATTGCATTGAATAAATAATAGTCCATCACTTTGAAGACTATGAAGTATGAAGTCGACATTATCAATTAAGCATACTTTAGATGCTTCGACTGCAAAATTCCAGTTCTGCCCTTTTCTGCACAACTCATTCATTTTTTCATCAAATACCGTTATCTCATAAAAAAACCAAGTTTGGCCATCTGTTAATTTAGTTTTTATAGTTTTCCACAAATTAAGGGATATTGTCATAGCATTTCCTAAATAATTAGAAAATTCTAATGACCAGATATCCTCATTATTTGGATCCCGACAGTTATGCACCTGCTTCCTCGGTACGTGTTGACAAAAATCCCATACCTTCCATAAATAGCTGAGATATTTCATTGAGCCACTCTCATTCATTTTGTTTTCAGCTTTAGGATAAATTTTCATTACAGAATCTTCTTTGAAATCTATCATTATAAAACCTGTTCGTCCAAGGGGTCTGCCACTGAGTGCTTTATGCAGTGATTGTGGTATCTAAAATATAAGATTATTTTTTATTAAATACATTCCTTCTTTCCAATTAATAATGGAAAACAATTGTATGGCTTACGATAATATTAAATAAGCTAAGGCAAAGTACAAAGTTGAGCAGCAATTAAATGTGAAAATATATAATAAGATGGACTTTGAGAAATAACAAAATCCAAAATTAGATCAAACGAAGATTAGCAGTATCAGGTACTGTAATGAATTGCGACTTCTCATTCTCTCTTAGAAGTAATTCCACTCGTAAGTTTTTTATCACGTCAGGGTTAAAATCCACACTCACCTTCGCATCAGGAGGCCATCATCCATACGCGTGTTATATCCATGTGTACAAATGAAATAACCTCTCATGCTGAAAGTATGAGGAATAGGATGGCTTTCACAGAGACTTGGTATAGATAAA